ATTGGCCTTCTTGGCCACCTGGGCACACTGCTGGCTCATGTTCAGCCTCCTGTCGATCAGCACCCCCAGGTCCCTTTCTGCCTGGCTGCTCTCCAGCCACTCTGTGCCCAGCCTGTAGTGCTGCAGGGGGTTGTTGTGGCCAAAGTGCAGGACCCGGCACTTGGCCTTGTTGAACTTCATCCCATTGGAAAAGTGGGTATAGCAAATTATGACAGACTATAATTTATTAATTGCTGAAAAAACAATTTTTACCACCTTGCATAGTATTGGGAAACTGAAAAAAATACAACCAACTACCAGAACATTCCATTCTCTTTTTACTGATGACAGGTAAGTTTTTCACCCATATCACACTGTCCGAATAAACAGTCTTTATATTTGTTTGTTGGTCTTTCAGAATAACATCAGCACAAGTATTTGAGCATTAAAATGCCCCTTGTCATAAACATGGCAAATTTCTGGTCACGGTAGACTAGAAGTACAGTATGGTGCAAAATGTATGGTTCAGCTGAAACAGTGTACTTTCGCAAAGAATCTCAACACTAAGCACTTGCAGTCTTAATGCTTAGATAGAATTATGTGGACCAAAAGAGTGATGTGAAGTTCTGCAAAGAACTGGCAGTGCCTGACCTAGTGGACAAACATGTTCCTTTGAAGTCTGCAGCTTCAGACTTTGCTATAGCAGTAACCTAGGAAAGAAACAGACACAGACAGCAGGGAATAATTTCACAACAGCTCTGGCTTATGCTCTGGTGGAAGCCCACAATCTAGAGATAATTCTGCAATTCATCTTTGCCAAAAGTGTAGTTGTCATATTGTTATTCTCTTATAGATGTATGCAAACCTCCTGGTCTCAGTTCCCAAACTTCCATTTTCTCGTAATTTTGGGTGTTCATTTTTGTTTCACGATTTTTATTTTAAAATTAGGAGGTTTTGTTTTGTACAATATATTCTGAAGCTCAAGAGAGGCATAGGGTTCTTTAGGTTACCTGCAGATATCTTCTGCATCAAAATATCTGGAGTTCCTGTGATCTATAACAATTATTTCCTGGTGCTTATCAAGGAAACATTCAAGCGCTGACTCTGGAGTCCAGGCAATATTGCACCTGTATCCAGCTCTGTCACAAGCCCACCAGAATCCATTGCTTTGGTTGTCTTCTTTTGCAAAGATCAGCAAAACCTGCAAAGGATGCAAAACAACAGCACCACATTAAAAACACAAAGTAGTCCTCTGCATGGTGCGAATCTTAACAAACACTTCTGCTCTACAATTAAGCCTGCTTTGAAAGCAGGAAGCTTGAACCACAGCTTGTAAAGCAGCTGATGCAGTAGTACAATTTTCTTAATGGATAGAGTGGTCATCAATAGATAATCAATAGTTAATTGAGTAGGTCTGATTTTTAGGACAAAACTGGCTTGCTAGATAATGATTCTTTCCTGCCTCCAGTTCCAGTTCATTCAGTAACCACCCAGAGTGTTCAAACATCATTGTCACTCCCATCAGGCCATCCAAGCTACACAAGCTACACACACTGTATGTAAGGAACTGTCTGAAATGCAACTAATTATCACTTTTCTCTGAATAGGGACAAACAGAACACTGTTTTATTCATAACCAATATTATTTCAAAACTGAAAAGAACAGTTTTGGATAGGATTAGGTGTGTGGGGGGAATCAAACATCACAATTTTGTAGCCAATACATTGTCCCAAATTGTCCCTAAATTGTCCCTGTATATAGTAGTTTTGACAATTTCAGCTGAACACTTAAGGAAACTGCTCACACAAAATTGGATAGGATGTGTACTGAGATGCCATTCTGAAAAGCAAGGAGATGCCATAGGAAGCCTGTTTGCTAACTAACATGCAGAATAGAGGCTGAAAACAGCTGTATTTCTGTGCTTCTCATGTGAGATAAAATGTTTTTAGGAGAGAAAAATTTTTCATCCAGCTCTATAATACATACATTATCAGTGTACAATTTATTCAGCAAGGAACACAAGTCCTGCAGACATTCCTCATTACAATTTGCATATATTTACCATAGCGACTCCTAACTAACCATGCTGCTCTATGTGTCAGATGAAGAAAAGGGCTAATTTAGTGCAAATATACTGTGAAAAAGAAGGGCTGACAAAGTCAAAAGTTTATCCACAGCTATTTAAATTGCACCAAAAGGCAGCAGCCAAAGAGTAATCACATATAAAGCAAAATCCTGTTCCTTTCACAAATAAAAGTCATCCCTGACTTCAATGAAACAACCCATCTGTGAAAAATACACAAAATTTGCTTCAAATGCCCATAAGAAAGGTCAGTAACATTTCATCTGTGCTGCTTTAAGCAGCTGTGGTGTCAGTCCATGAATTTCAACACCATCAGTCTAGAAGACAGAAAAGGTGAGCATATCTTTCATCTTATCCTGAGCTGTCTGGATTGTTGAATTCTAAACAATTAAAAAATCAATCAGTGTTACTCTGACAGAACAACCAGTCAAGGTTTCACTAAACAGTGGAAGAAAAATATATGCTCAGAATTTCCATAAGTATTAAGAAACAACTTAGGAAATTTCAATTTATTAGAAACAATTTCGATTGCAACTAATAATAACCAGATTTGGTTTACTGACAAACAACATTCAAGGTAAGTGTTGTCATTTTACCTAATGCCTGATTTTTTTTCCAGCCATCAAAATGATGAAAAGCAGTAATGTGGTCAAGCTGCGGACTTTGTCCATTCCTCAGTGAAGTACCTACTCAGATACAATCTTCTGTTTGGTTCCAACTGCCATTAGTTTTGTTTTGTTCCTAGTTTGAAACAATATGTTTCAGTAAAATTTGTGATGGGGGTGTGCATATTTTTTGGTATCTTCCTTCTCTCAGCACTCCCAGTTTGGAAATAATGGATTGCAAAATGCAATAACTTACCAGCTGTAAAATAATGCAGCTTAATTAAACCACCCAATCTCTCACTAGTAGCTAATTATCAGTGTGCAAATCCTTCTGAGAATATTAACGTTTAAAGTTGTGTTAAAGTTTTACTACTATGCTTTCTCATTAGCATTTGTATGAAGCTTACTATTAATCACCAAAAACAACGTAACTAGACGTATAAGTGTAAGATACTCTCTCAAAGTCAAGATAAAAATATAACAATCCATATAAACAACACAATCAAGGAAATGCTTGAATTTGATCTGTGTCCCTTGACAAATAAAAAATGTATGTATGTATGTAGTTATTTTTTGCTGCATAATGTGCCAGTGTTGCTGTAAAAATCAGTGCTGCCCTAGTTTAGGAGCACCATGAACTTTCTCTGTGGAGACCTTTATAATTTTGGTGATGTACTTTTTACTCTCTTTTTAAGTATTTGCTTCCCACAACTATTGCACATCTTGTTCCCGGTTTATTATACAAATACAGAAAATGGACAGAAATTTGCTCTAAAGAGCTTGAAACAAAGTAAGGGACACCAGCTGAGGACACATAGGGTACTCAAAGGAAACAGAAAGTTACAACAACTTAAGAAGTTATTTAATTATTTTCACATCATCATATCCCAGTGAGAGACTCTTAAGGTGGAAAAGACGTAGTATCCTTGGATTTAGTCATGAAGAGGTTCTTTTACTCCAAAAATTGGCATAAGGAAACAATAAAATGCTGCACATCAACACGGTTCATTTGCAGCTCATCAAGGAATTTCACAATCATCAGAACAGAAATGGAGTTTGATGTCAATACTGTGAAAGATATTATGGCAAATGAATGTCCTAAAAGGTGAGATAATGAAGCATCTGAATAGGGACACATCCAAACGTTTATCAGCCCTCATAAACACTTCTGCAACAGGATACAACACCTTTTTTAGGTGCACTAAATGTCTATAAAAACCACCTATCTCCTCTGCCTTATGGAGAGGGCACATTTACATGTACTTTTATCATGGTCATTTCTAAGGTCTCAGAATTCAACCATTGCTACTTGCAAGCCTTGGGGGCAGATGTGCAAGCTGTATGGGGCATGTTAGGATTGTTGGGGTTTGTTGATTTACTTTGGACTCTCCCCCTTGTCTCTTAGGGCCAGAAGCACCTGGGTCATGATCCAGTATAAACCAAACCAGATTTTTTTCTCCAACATATATGGTCATAAAGTCAAGTGAGGAATCTATTAAAAGGTTTATGGCAGGTCACAGCCACAAGTAAGGTCACCTCTCAGACAAAAAATGTGTGCCATTGCAAGGTTGGCACAGGTGTCCCATAACAGCATAAAACACACACCAGAATAAAATTAACTTCTCTAAGAAAAGCCCCAGTGGCAATTGTTTTAACAAACTGAACTTGCTTCTCAGACAACTGTAAACATTATTAATCACCCACAAATAGACATTTAAAATGTGATATTCAGTAGCTGCTTGCACTGCACAGAGAAACACGTAATTGCATTGTCAAGATGGAATAAAACATTAGCACACATTTTTTAAATGTAACAATTGCCAAATTATCTGAGGCAATATGGCATGTTCCACAAACAAAGGAGGTGGGTTTACATTAAGTGTTTTACCTTTACCGTAAATAAATTAGCATACGGCAACATGGAAAATTCTTCGGTTAATGACTTTACTTAAAGAACAGTTTCTGCTTTACTTAAGACAGATTTTTACACTGATTCTCACTTCTGTTATGTAGGGACAAAAAAACATCCCCATCTGGCAAGATAGCAAGAAGAATGTCAGATTTAAAAACAACAAAAATTCCACTTTCACTTCTCATATGAAAAATCTTCACTTGTAACAGCTAACACTGATATGATGATGCTTTGGCAAATCAAATTTCTACAATGCAGTACACTGATATAAGTACTGATAGTATTTGTAGTTGCTAAAAATCTGCTTGAGCATCTTTATGGAGATGATCATGGTTTAAAGAACATTATTCTGTGAAGAGTTCCACACTTCTATGTTGAAATTTCTTGCAAAACCGAAGACTTATTGTTGAAGTAACTGTTCCACCATCTTATTATAATATCAACAAATATTTCATTGGATGAAGTCCTAATTAAGATGCTTAATAGAGACATAAAAATGTAAAGCTCTGTGATGCATATCCACAATTTAGTTTCCCCAAGAATAGTATTTTTTCACACATAGGTTTTTCAAAGAAAAAGTGGTGGTGACTGTATTTTATAGAATTAAGTGACTCCAAGATTAATTCAAATGAATTATGTATCACTAGAACAATGTTAAAGCTTAAAACTACTTAGTTTTCTATAATCTGAGAGTTCCAACACCCACTGTAAACTAAAAAAAAAAAAAAAACCTCTTGGTATCTGTTTACTGTAACACGAATAAAACCCACAGAAAAAGTATGGGTGACAGAAAAATGTATGGGTGACAGCTGTTGCTCCTTAAGCTGAACTTCAACCTGTTTTGTCGGAGGTGATGTGATTTCTTGGATTGGTGATCTGTAGAAGCACAGTTCTCCGCCCTGATACAGTTCTCTGTCCTATTGTGCAAACTTCAGAAAAACTGGACATGTACTGCTCTGTTATATCAGAACTGAACAGTTTTTAATACCCATAGAGGAAGATCTTTCCCTTGCTAATGCACAGACACACACTCCTACAGGACATATAAAAGGTATGATGGGATGTTAATGGAAATATAAGTATCTTGTTTACCAAGTTAATTTACTTGTAAATCTCTTCTCAAGCAATCAGATACAGCAAAACCCCTATTACCCATCCCACAGTCCTTGCACAAGTGAAATGAAAATAAGATACTTAACTATTAACAGTGAATTGGCTGTATCAAGAACCTGAAGGAGTATCTTACCTGAATTGGGTATTGTGTCAGTCTCATGGGCCCAACTTGTACTTCTGTAGTTGAAGCCTGATAAAGAAGAGCAATACAGATATTTTTTCAGTCCGGATCTTAATAAGATAGCATTTTACATGCAAGAAGGAAAGATCAAACAGAATCATGAAAGAGGCTCAAAGGCAGGCTGGCTTATGACTAGCAGCCTTAACTTAGCTGCTTTGAAGTGTATCTTACATGATCATATTCACCAAACTCCTAATTTTACTTTATTTGCCTGCAAGTTAAAAATTGTAGCATTTTAAAGAAGGAAACAAGGAACACCACTTCCTTTTCCTTCTCTCCCCGGAAGTGTACTTTAGTTACATAGGAGGACTTGCATGTTGCTACAGAAAGCCATTTATTTCTGGCCAAAAATTGCTCTATTCATTTGAATGTAATACAGAACTTGTATTAAAGGTCTTGTGACATACACTAAATAATAGTGTTTTAATGGGTTTGATTAGGAAAGAAATGACTTTTCAGACAAGGAAACTTTTTTGAGTTGCAGATTTAAAGTTGTTTCCCAGAAAAACTTTAGTTTTCAGGTAAAAACCATCTCTTCCATGTGAGCCATGACATTTTCAGAAGACATGGAGCACATTATAATTTAAATCTACTGCAAGAAAGCCAGTAGATGTAGGTGGTGGCTGCTTTGTTTGTTATATTTCCTAGGAGTACTAAGGAGTACCCTAATACTTTTTGTATCTTCATACATTTCAATACACTTCTCCTGTACACCTCTGATTTGTTTCACTTCAGACCATTAGCTACAGAAGGTTGTTAAGCAACAGAACAATACATATGTCCTCCCACAGCGCACATACTTAAGAAAAAGAGTCTTTGAACCCTTAAAATGTTGTTCCCTTCATGCATATAGAGAATTAGTTGCAAGTTACCAATCTCCAAAAGGGCAGATTCTCTTGCTTTTGTGCTTAGCAGTTACCTAGGTGCCTGGTGTAAGCAAATTAAAGCAATCACCACCCAAGATATGTAATTTGACCAAAATCCTAATTGTAGACATATTCCCAGGGCCATTCCCTGACATACAGGAATCCTGGAGCATTATTTCTGTGGCATTTTGCTCTGCGATGCTCACTAAGTTTGAGACTTTTACACAGACAATACTCAATCCTTTAAAAATATGTTTTTCAAAGGAATATGTAATAACATTCAAAATGGTTGAAGCTACCAGTATTCAACATTTTGCCTTTTGACAATACAATACTGTGTTAAGTATTAACAGCCTTTCCTACGTGTGAGACAGTGGCATTATGTATAACTACGGCTGGCACGCTGGACTTTCATGCACCACTGCACATCGATTCTTCTCAGCCCAACAACATACGTCAGAAGGTGGTAACGGGCAGTACTCCAAAAGATTAAACTACAAAGCCTGCCACTGTTTTCCAGAGCAAAAACTGCCCCCAATACAAGTGAAGTTAACCTCTCCTTTTCTCACAGAAAAGCTTCACTTCCCACTTGAGCTCTCGCTGTAGCAGAATGTAGCTTAGTGCCTGTAAGCATATCTGAACAGAAAGGAAAGTCAGCACCCATCATAAACCAGGACTTAAGAGTAAGGTTAGAGAAACAGCTCCCTGAAAGCTCCCAGTGTCTCTTCCCCCACAGCCAAAAAAGAAAAGCAGCACATTCACACTCCACACATTCACACTGCACAACAGACATGGGGCAGTGTCAGAAGCAAAATCTCCTTTTCTGACAGTGCACAGCTCAAACTGTCTCAGAATGTGTAGATCAAGAGCCTGGAATTTTTCAACAAAAGAAGAACACAGACGTATCCGTGTACGTTAGGACACAGGTAATTATTTTATTATCCATTTATTAATGCTAGGGAAACACTAGGGAACTCACATTGTAAATGAATGCCTTCCACTTACTACCACTTCAGAAGACGTCCAGCTTTAGTCCCTCTGTATTGCCAAAAATGGAATAACTGTCTCCAAGACATAGATCAATGTGGGCAAGTCTATCAAATCCTTTACAGAGATTACTTTATAGATTAGCCACTTTTCTTATCCTGTTTATTGTAAAACAACAATAAAATAATCCACTCACTCAGACTCTGACTCAGAGTTTTTCTCCCTGCTGCTTCTGTGTTAGCCTCATGAATAAAAAACACTAGAAAAGAAGAACATAAAACTCAGGGTCTTTCTCTTTCTTCCTCCCAGTTTTAGGGTGTTCCTGCCTTTGATAACAGCAGGAAAGCTTGATGAAAATTAGGAAATCTGAGCCTCCTGATGTAGGTGAAGTTGTCCCTGTCCTGCTCTGTGCAGGTGTGATAGAGTCTGAACCACAGAGCGATGCAAAATAGGTGCTGTTATTTATGGAAGATTGCCTTTAAGTCTCCAAAATGCCTAACTTCGTTACTTACACAATGCATGGAAACAGATGAAACTGTCAAATTAAGACTGGTAATGAACATGAGTATGGGAAGGATAAATAAATCTTCTTGTCAAATATAGCAGAAAGTATATCTGAAATACTCCTTTCTGAGTCTTGTTTTACAAGCTGAATCAGATCCTTGGATTTATATGCCCAAACTTCTGTGGGTATAAGTGACTGATTCACTTTTCTCTTTCAAAACTCAGCTACAGGAGGCAGCAAGAATAATGACATAAGCCTTGCCTTAACAAATGTCCTATGGATCTCTCATTGGCCTAAAGGAACAAATTCCACATTTTCTGAACTTTCAGAAGAATGTGACCATGAAGACATTGCATGGTAGTGATACCATGACCATACCACTGTTCATTTCCTCACTTAAGTGAATATCACATTGCTGATGATTTCCAATTTGAATGAAGCTCTCATTCTTTGATTGACTGCCAGGAAGGACTGTTAATAGATCTGCAACCTAAATCAATTAGTGTAGTAGCTCATAACAGACTTTTCTGGTAAAACATGCAGAGACAAGTCTGATTCCAAAGAGCTCAGTGGAAAGTCCCCAATTTCAGTGACCAGAGGACCAGACACAATGTTGGAAGCAAAGAAATAAAAAAACAAACAAACAAACTAACCATCTGAAAACAATAAAAGCTTAAAAAGAGTGAAAAAAAGTTTGGTTTAATATTTTAAACTGCTCAGTATTATTTTCAGTATCATTATAACATCCTAGGCAATCTCCACAGGAATCAGTTATTACTCAAGTAATTAGGCAAAGTCAATGGCACTTTCTTAATTCTTAAGAATTACTTAGATACTTAGATAAATTACTAAGAATTACTGCTTTTTTGTAAATCAGTGATCATCAATTATCTTACTATTGTAGCAGTGACATTAAGCAAAATGCACTTACTACTTCATTAAATTTCTACCTTTCTAAATTATTAGTACAAAAATCTTTACTCCCTTATAACTGCAGACCTATAGTCCCTGCAGTTTATGAATCATCAGTAATTACCAACACACCACTATATTTAGTGTTCACTAATTACTACAGAAAAATCTTCTTGCATAATTCTGTGCCGCTCCACAGCAACAACTGCAGCTGCAGCCAACCAAGCAGTGAAGCAAGCTGCAGTGGGTTGACCCTGGCTGGATACCAAGTACACACTGAAGTCACTCTCTCACTCTCCTTCTGCAACTGGACAGAGGAGAGAACAAAAAAAAAAAATAGTGAAGGATTTATGAGTTGAGATAACAGCTGGGAGAGGTCACTTACTCTGAGGGATAGTATTTAAATTTATTACTAACAGGATAAGATAAATTTATTACTAACAGCCAAAGAGTGAGAAATAAAATATCTTAAAAACACCTTCCCCACACCCCACCTTCCTTCCATGTTCTCCCTCCTCACCCCAGCAGTGCAGGGGGACAGGGAATGGGCGTTGTGGTCAGTTGTTTCTGCTGCTGCTCAGGGAGAGGAGTTGCAGAGGGAGAGTGAGAGAGTGGCTTTAGTGTGTACTTGGTATCCAGCCAGGGTCAACCCACTACACAAGGGTGTTGTGAGTTCAGCCTCCTGAAAGGGCTCAGGATGGATCTGCTAGTTGAGAAGCATCATACAGATGCCAAGCTCCCTTTGGACACCTTTTTGCCCTGAAGGTTCCTACCCTCTGTATCTTTTTTCCTTTTAGTTACTCTCACGCTGGTGCACCACTTCCTTCACCTTTGTAGTATGTTTTCAGATCTCTGCCTCTTTGGTTTAGCAAAGAGGTAACAGGACTCTCTTTTCGACCCAGCTTTCCCCTGGTTACCTCTCCCCATCTTTGCTAGGGCTCATTTACATTTCTTTCTAGCTCAGTTTCCCCCATCCACACCACTGGTAAGAGCTGACACCTCAGCCTATCCTTTGGCTATGACCATTTCCACTTTTGATTGTACCACTATTTCAACTATTTTCAATCTCAAATCCCTTTGCTGTCTTTTTTTTTTTTTTTTTTTTTTTTTTTTTTTTTTTTTTTTTGTTAGCCCAACTACAGTCCTGGAAAGAATTACAACCATGTATGAGACACAGGTCACAGAGCTGTTCTCCAACACCCCTGGCCTGAAGCTGGTGTCCTGCTCCTCTCTTCTCTGCCTGCTACAGCACACCTGACCAGTGTGACCAGCTTCTCCTCCACTGTTCAGCAGTTACACTTCTTTTCTTTGTCTTGTCTTCTTTAGCAGAACTATATCCCAGTCTTTATTGCCTTTTACTTTTTTATTACTTCTGGTCCTTTCAAGTCCAACCCACTGGCATTTTTGTGTAGTTTAACATTTGGTAACTCTTTCAGTGTTTCCTCATGTTTCTTTTCCAACTTCAAGTGTTACAAAGAATATCACTTGACTTGTTAGCAATTTGTGGACATATTTACAAAGTTCTTTCCACCTCTGAGTCAAAAAGTCACTAAATGATAAGCTGTCAAAGACTAAGGATGATGAATCACTCCATACTCATATTGCTGGTGAGTTGGTTCTGAGGTAGATGCCTTCTGGCCTGACCTCAGTGGCTTTTTCAGACACCATCTTTCTCTGCCTCATTCATTTGACCTGCTGCCTCTGTTTATCCTCTCC